TGATATTGTTGGATAATTTCCATTTTGTGGGATCACCTTTCTTTGGAATGGATCCAAATATGGATCTTTTCTAGTCAGTTGGCCAGGGAGCTGTCTTCCAAATCTCTTGACATAGACAAGTGAGTGCCTCCAGCACGGCATCTATTTCTTGAAATATCTCAATGGGTATTCCATCAATTCCTGGAACCTTGTATTTTTGATAATTCCTTCAGTGCAGCTTTGACTTCTTCCTTCAACACCACTGGTTCCTGATCATATGTCACCTCCTGAATGGATGAACATTGACCAATTCTTTTTGGTACAGTGACTCTGTGTATCCCTTCCATCTTCTTTTGATGCTTCCTGCATCATTAAATACATTGCCCATAGAATCTTTCAATATTGCAACTCGAGGCTTGAATTTTTTCTCCAGTTCTTTAAGCTTGAGAAATGTAGAGCATCTTCTTCCCTTTTGGCTTTCCAACTCCATGTCTTTCCACGTTTTATAATAATAATTGATTTTGTCTTCTCGAGCTGCTCTGTGAAATTTTCTGTTTAGTTCTTTTATCTTGTCATTTCTTCCATTTGTTTTACTCTTCACTCAAGTGTTAAGTTTTACAGTCTCTTCTGACATCCATTTCGGTCTTTTCTTCCTTTCCTGGCTTTTTAATGACTATTTGCTTTCTTTATGGATGATGTTCTTGATGTCATCCCACAATTCCTCTGGTTTTTGGTCACTGGTGTTCAATAAATCAAATCTATTCTTCAGTTAGTATCTAAATTCAGGAGGGGTATAATCAAGGTCATATTTTGGCTCTCGTGGGCTTCTTTAACTGTCTTCAGTTTCAACTTGAACTTGCATATGAGTAGTTGATGGTCTGTTTCACAATCAGCTCCTGGACTTCTTTTGCCTGAAGATACTGAGCTTCTCTATTGCCTCTTGCCACAGATGTAGTCATTCTGATTCATGTGTACTCCATCTGGCAAAGTCCATGTGTATAGCTGCCATTTGTGTTGCTGAAAAAAGGTATCTGCAATGAATAAGTCAGTCTTGCAAAATCCTATCATGCGATCTCCAGCACTATTTCTATCATCAAGAGCGTATTTTCCAATTACTGGTGACTCTTCTTTGTTTCCAAGTTTTGCATTCCAATGACCAGGGATAATTAACACATCTTGATTGCATGTTCAGTCAATTTCTACAGAAGTTGGTAAAAACATTTTCAATTTCCTCATCTTTGGTTTTGGTGCTTGGTACATAAATTTGAATAATTTTAGTATTAACTAGTCTTCTTTGTAGGCGTATGGATATTATCCTATCCCTGACAGAACTGTACGTCAGGACAGATCTTGATACAGTCTTTGTGATGATGAACGTCACACCATTCTTCTTCAATTTATCATTCCCAGCAAAGTAGATCATATAGTTGTCTGATGCAAAATGGCCAAAACCAGTACATTTCAGCTCACTAATGCCTAGCATATCAATCTTTATGCATTCCATTTCATTTCTGACAACTTCCAATTATCCTACATTCACAGTTCATACATTCCATGTTCCGATTCTTAATGGATGTCTGCAGCTGTTTCTTCTCATTTGAGTCGTACAACACATCAACAATTGGAGGTCCCAAAAGCTTTACTCTATCCACATCATTAAGGTTGTCTCTACCGTGAGGAGTCAGCTCTTCCCCAGTCATATTTTGAGTGCCTTCCGACCTGACAGGCTCATCTTCCAGCACTATATTGGACAGTGCTTCAGAGCTATTCATAAAGTTTTCCAATATTATATCAGACAGTGTTTCTCTGCTATTCTTAAGACAAGTGGATGGTGCCTTCCTTCTTCTGTGTCTGTCTTATTCTGGAAGCTTTGCTTAAACCTGTCCACCATGGGTAACCCTGCTGCCATTTGCAAGAATGGTGGCACAGCCTCTGGCCTCACAGCAACAAAAAAGCCACCACAAGACAACAAACTGACAGACAAGTTCTTCTCCCTTAGTTGTTCCAAACCATTCTGCTCACTTCCTGGTCTCCTTTACCAAAAAATCAAACCAAACTCATTGCCATCAAGTGTGTCCCAACTCATAGCAACCCCTCCTTGTGTTTCTGAGGTAGTATCTCTACGGAAGTAGATTGCCCAATCTTCCTTCCAAAGGGTGGGTGGTGAGTTTGAATTGCCAGCCTTCTGGTTAGTAGTCAAATACCTTAGGCACTATGCCACCAGAGCGCCTAGCTCCCTTAGCTAGGCCTCCCTTAGCTAGGCCTCCCTTAGCTATTTCAAACTGCTGCCAGCTCACTTCCTGGTCTCCCTTCAGCAACAATATCCCTGATTCTACTACCTCTCCTGAAGTCAGCTTGAATTTCTGGAAGTTCCCTGACAATATACTGCTGCAAGTGTTTCTGAATTATTTTTTAGCAAAATTTTACATTCTTGTGATATCAATGATAAGGGTCTCTAATTTCCCCATTCTGTTAGATCATCTTTCTTTGGAATGGGGACATATATTGATCTTTTCCAGTCAGCTGGCCAGGTAGCTGTCTTCCAGATTTCTTGGCATAAATGATTTAGCACCTCCAGTGCTGCATTCACTTGTTGAAACATCTTACTGGATGTTCCATCAATTCCTTGAATCTTGCTTTTCACCAGTTCCCTCAAGGCAGCTTGGACTTCTTCTTTCAGTACTATTGATTCTTGATCTTATGTTACCTCCTGAAATGGGTGAACATCAACCGATTGTTTTTGTACAGTGACCCTGTGTATTCCATCTTCTTTATTTCCTGTATCATTCAATATTTTCCCCACAGAATACTTCAGTATTGCAAATTGAGGCTTGAATTTTTTTCTTCAGTACTTATAGCTTAAGAAATGCTAAGCATGTTATTCCGTTTTGGAACCTAATTCTAGGTCTTGGCACATTTCATTATAGTACATTACTCTGTCCTCTCTCAAGCTGCCCTTTGATATCTTCTATTAAGCTCTTTTATTTCATCATTTCTTCCATTTGTGTTAGCTATTCTCCATTCAAGAGCAAGTTTCAGTCTCTTCTGACATTCATTTTAGTCATCTATCTCTCTGGTCTTTTTAATGAAATTTTGCTTTCTTCTTGTATGATGTTGTTGATGTCATCCCACAGCTCATTTGGTCTCCGGTTATTGGTATTTAATGCATCAAATGTATTCTTCAGATGATCTCTAAGTTCAGGAATATTCTCTGTCTCTCTCGCACTCCGTCTCTCTCTCTCTCTCTCTCTCTCAATCTCTCTCTCTCTCTATATATATATACACCTGGAAAACATCATGTCTAGCAAATTATCAACAACTTTTTTACAACAGTAAGACAGACAACTCAATTTACAAATGGGTAAAAGACAGGGAAGATATACAAATAGTCAACAAGTGTACGGAATATCATCAAAATCATCATTCATTGTTGTTGTTGTTGTTATGTGCCGTCAAGTTGGACCTGACTCATAGCGACCCCTCCTTGGGTTTCCGAGGCAGTATCACTGCAGAAGTAGATTGCCCCATCTTCCTTCCGAGGAGTGGCT